CGAATGACAAGAGGAATGAAGGTGACGAATGAATAATAACAAAACTTGATGGACAATATTTCGCATGCAGTAGGAGAGGCATGATAGTGAATGACGTGGTGGAAGGGGAGGGCCTAACTCACTGTGGCAAAACTATGACACTATAACACATTGACTGACACACACACACTATAACACTATAACACACTATAACACATTGACTGACACACACACACACTATAACACACACACACATACATACACACTCATTGTAACATTATAACACACACACTATAACACACACACACACACACACACACACTGTAACATTATAACACACACACACACACACACACACACACACACACACACACACACACATACATACACACTATAACATTATAACACACACACACACACACATACATACACACTGTAACATTTATTATAACACACACACACACACACACACACTATGAAACACTAACACACACACACATACATACACACTATAAACATTATAACTCACACACACACACACACACACACACACACACACACACATACATACACACTGTAACATTATACACACACACACACACACACACACACACACACACACACACTATGAAACACTAACACACACACACACACACATACATACACACCATAATATTATAACACACACACACACACACACACACACACACACACACACACACATACACACACACTATAAACATTATAACACACACACACACACACACACACACACACACACACACACACACACACACACACACACACACACACACACACACACACACACACACACACACACACACACACACACACACACACACACACACACACACACACACACACACACACACACACACACACACACACACACACACACACACACACTATGAAACACTGACACATTCACTATATTTTTAAAAAATTCGTTGACGTTACTAATTATATGCATAATAAAAATTGTGTAACTTGAGAATAAATCACTTTAATATTGTTATCATAACCACATTAAGTTATTTAATGTATTTTCATTGCATATAAATTTTTCAGAAATTTGGTAACCTACGAGTATGTTGTCAAGCAGTCAGTTGTTATGAGGGATAGATACGTACATAAAGTAAATAATCTGTTACTTATTTTAGCCTTTTATGGTTAAATTTGAAGAGTTTGTTTAAATTTTCTCATAGATTTCGGTCGTACTGAGTTGTTGAAACAAAATTCTATCCCAGACTTTCTTCCTTTACCGCTCAGCTCCCAAAGGTGAGGGGTAAGCTCCTGGAATCCGTCTCTGCCACGTTCCTCTGTTTTCAGCTCCTCCACTGCCCCGTGTTTTGTATGTCTCTCTCAACCACGTCTCTCTAAACCACGTCGCTCTACCCACAACTAAACACAAACAACTATACTGTATTCCTTTACTGTGGCTCTTGGTATTAATTGACAATGTTTACATCTCATGGCATCACACCTCAGGACATGTATTTGATTTGTGTGTGTTCTGAACTAAGATACGACAAGGTAAATATCAGTTTATAGACCTTGGGGCCGGAGGTGACAGAGGAGAAGTAAGAGCAGGTGATTCTCGAGGGACCACATTTTTCTGTGATAGAGAAACGGAGGGGGACTTCTCTGAGGCAGGCGGACCCCAGCGGCGGGAACGAGACCCACAACAACAAAAAGAACCTGTTGTCTCGCTGGGTATAACCAATATGGATTCAAATTTCCTGCTGCCTTTACCAATTGTTGAGAATAATTGGTCGCTTTCAACGAGGATTCTTCAACATTGTGACGAGGTGACAAAACTCTGGCTCGAGTAAGCAGAGGTGATTCATGAAGTGTGTGGTGTGTGGTGGAAACAAATATTTAGAAAGGCAACAGAAGCGTTGATAAATGGAGTGAAGTGGCCAGCACACGTATTCTGCGTAGTTATGAATGGCAGTTGTGACAATAAGAGCATAAAGTAGGAAATGTTATCTTAGACTTATATAAACAGAAAGTTAAGAATCCTACACAGAGTCAGTTTTACTCAGCAGTGGCCGCGTGTAGGAAGAAATCCACACACACACACGAGATGTTTTGTTACGAAGACTTGGTTAACTTACAAGTGTCTGGGAGTCAGTGTTTGCTCTAAAGTTTTTCTTGTTGGTGTATGATGACTCAGCTCACCATCACGACTATAGTGGAGAAATGAACCACACTTAGAAGAAGACCTTGACCCCATAACTGTTGGCGTGTTTAACACCTTTTTCACCTGGTACATGACGCAATAGTAGTGACCTATATATTAACACCATGACCCTGACCCCGTGACCTTACCAACCACTGTCTGTGATCTGATGCTCTCGCTGGGGGGTAGTGACGTCATAACACCATGCATGAGGATTTGAAGGAAAAAAAATGTGTAAAAGTCGACTTCAATGTTGGTGACAAACGCCAAGTCCATTGATAATATGGTGCTGAGTCATGACGATAAGGAGGATAAAGATAAAGGAGTGTGAATGTTACCGTGTAAACATTTACCTGTTCGGAACTTATGTAAACAATTTCATGAACACAAGAGTAATGTTACAAGTTATAAGTGACAGTAGTGATGTATTCTGCTACACTGTGTTGTAATGGTAGGTTATAGCTGTCAAGTTCAACAATTCCGTCAAAAGAAGAATTGTGTCCTATCTTAGTATTTCTTATAGTTAGTTCTCCCCAAATAAAATAATATGAGACAAAACTAAGGAAGTGATAAAACCTAATATCGTTAGCACCTACAGAAATGACTTGGTGAACATCTTAGAGTCGGAGGCCAGTTTATTTGCTGGCGATGTCAAGGTTTTTAGAATCATTAAGACTGAGGCAGACGTACAGGTCTTACCAAGACTGAGGCAGACGTACAGGTCTTACAAAGTTGATTGAAAATGTTCAGTGGAGGGCCACCAGACTGGTGCCTGCACTTCGGCACCTCAACTACCCTGAGAGATTGGAGCGCCTGAACTTGCTTAGCTTATATTACAGACGGGCAAGAGGCGACCTAATTTAGGTGTATAAGCATCTCACGGGGCACTACTCAGTCGAGTGTCCTTACTTGGAGCTGGCAGACGCTCGTCCCACAAGGGGTCACAGCTCAAGATTGAAGAAGCCGCAGGTCCAGAAAACTGTGAGGGCAAACTTTTTCGGAGTGAGGGTTGTGAACTCTTGGAACAATCTACCAGAGAGTGTTGTGACGGCACCGAGTGTGAGCTCTTTCAAGACCAGACTTGACCAACACTGGAGCAGGTTCAGGTACATTCAGGAGCCAGTGCATGCCCAGTACTTGCCAACAGTGGTTAACAGAGACGTGACCGATCGCCCAAGCGGCTAACGAGCCGAACAGTGGTGAAGAGGATAAAAAACAAGACTAAGACTGACGTGCAAGTCTTACAGAGAGACTCAAAGAATGGTGTGAGAAGTGACTGTTGTCATTAGTGTAAGATGATTCCCGTGTCGGTATAAACTCAAGATGTAACCGTTTATCTGACTTGAAACCCTCAGTACATGTTACGGCTAGACCCAATAGTAAACTCTAGAAAATTAAGAGAAGCTTTACATTTATAAATAAGGAAATAATTATAAGACTGTCTCTGAACATTAGTCAGGTCCATCAATGGCTATGAAGTTTAGTCTCAAAGATGTCGAATTACTCTAAAGAATACACTGTACTAGTAGACACGTTTCTGAACTCATTATTCCCACACCGGTGATACCCGGCACACACCCCACCCTTCCTTCCACTGGCGACGCTTCTAGCTCAGGGCAACAAAACCAGTCCCAGAAATAGCACCTCAGTCCTATAAAGACAGATACAAGTTCTTGGGTCTACAGACCTTACAAAACATGAGGGAGAGTCAGAGCCAAACTCCCGGAGGTCGGGACATTAAAAGAAGAATTTGTCTTATTCATCCATTAATTATAACTTAGTAAACATTACTAGGTAAGTATTACCACATGTTCGTGATAAAGTAGTATTATTGAATGACAAGTGTCTCCTAGCCAAAATGTACTTGTAGATAAAATTTTCGCGAAAATATTATTATTAATTCTTTAAGCGAAGCTTGACAATTATGTTTTCTTGTTTACTCACCCGACCAATGTTTCCCATATTTTAAAATAAAGAAACTGGAAACCAGTAGCATATATAAGGGGGTGGGGGCCATAATCCCCCCCCCCCCACACACACACATTTTGCTACTGCCTTCAGCTCATTTAACCAACGCAACTACTTTGCGAGGAGGGTAAGTAATTATAAATTAATTCAGGCCCATAGTGGGGGGGAGAGCCTCCAACAGAAGTACTAATGTTGGCCATAAAATATATCATACTACTCAGTGCAGATGGCCTCAAAAGTCCATGAAATACGTCAAATTTCACATTTTCTCAGGGGGGTTGGGTAACAGTCCTCCCCCTCCCCAAGAACACGCCAGCTGCTTACACCACTACATGGACATAAAATAATGTCTCTATCTTCAAGTCTTGCCCTACCCCCTTTCCAGAAACTAATACTGTTTACTCTACTGCCGGAAATCCTATATCAATGTTATTTTGGCTAAGTTTAATTTAGTAATTGTCCTATTTATAGTCATACAATTTTTTTTACGTTAAATCGATCTCCCTTTGTGTGTATATGCCGACACTGTTTATGAAAGTACTGAAGCATTGTGAACCTGTACGACTAATCTACTGAATAATTATTATTATATCTTAAACTACTGTCTTGCCTCTGCTCCCATGACCCCACTAACCTTCCTGAGCACACACTTGGATGATAACCTGGGAAATCCTGCATATATCATCAACAACACAGAAAAATAACACAAGGATGATAATAACTATAATAAATGATGAAAACAGTTATATTAATAGCAACAGAAGAAAGTTATTCATACATAGTTAAGAATAGATTAGAAAAACGCAGGGAATTATCAACACTGTGAGGCGTCCCTAGCAACGACCTTGTGTCCTTAACAACCACTATCTGTACGAGGCCAGCCGATGATATATTGTCTTATAAAACATCTTTGTGGTTGGTAGATAACTCCAATTTAACTACATGGTAAGTATTTGTGTGGGTATGTAAAGATTCAGTGGTTAAGAGAAGGATGGGATTGTACTGGGTATAATAAACTTGTGTTCAGTGAGGCCACCAGTAGCAAAGATTTCACCTGAGGGTTATTAGTCAGGTAGTAGAGACGGTAAGAAGTTTATTTACAGTTCTATTTCAGTTTATTCAGTGGATTAACTTAAGGTGAGATAAATTTGCATGTTAGTGATTGAGGGAATTAACTATTTTAAGGGAAGCTGCATTGATATTTGCCTGAAAACCATAAATTATCTCCAGAAGTGTATTTATTTATTTTTCTTTACCCTACATCACTACCTGCTTACCTTCATCTCTTCTATGACTGATTAAAACCACATCTGAATTATGGCAGATTTTAGTGGGTGTACTACTGAGCCGATTATCACTTAGTGGTTCACTCCTGCTGAAACCAAAGGTAAGGGATGGTTTTGTCAGGGTAATAGTCTGGAACACTTGTACAGGTGAACCACCAACTTTACAATATTTTTCTCTTGAAGACAAACTTATTTTTTGCCCCAAGAAAATCACCAAAATTGATAAGGAATAGTTATTTTCATTTTCTGTTTTGATAACTTTTATCGTCTGAACTTTATAAAACCTTAATCTACTTTACCTTACTTTTTTCTTTTATCCTCTTCACCACTGATCGGCTCGTTAGCCACTCGGGCGATCGGTCATGTCTCTGTTACACACTGTTGGCAAGTACTGAGCATGCACCAGCTCCTGAATGTACCTGAACTTCAGCTCATTGTCAACATACACACCTAGGTCCTTTTCACATTCAGTCTCAAATAGTGCCGTTTTTTCATCCCGTTGGGACATATGATACGCCTCCTTACCGTTGGTACGTCTCAGGTGCATCCTCTTACACTTCGTGACATTGAATCTCAACAGCCATTTCTTTGACCATTCTTGGAACCCACAGAGATCCTTCTGCAGCTCTTCACAGTCCGCATGGTTCTTGATTTCCCAAAATAACTTGGCATCATCGGCAAACATTTGTATGGAGGAGTGTACAACATCAGGCATGTCCCACTAATGCCATTTACATTGTTTACATGATAACTGAGTCATACACAGGAATGTTTCCATATACTGGAACACTTTCAGTAACTGCTACATATGTGATTTATATTTTTTTGCTAAAACTTAATGGAAATTCTTAATGGAAGAAAACTTCTTTATTACATTTAGGAGGATTTGTAACTTTCATAATTTTGTTTTTACAATTTAACGATGTCATATTGACATCTTTATATTTTATAATTTGTTGTAGATAACATGAACCAGCCAGACCTGCCTAATATACTTATCTCAGGATTAGTCAACAGGTAAAGCACAATTTGGGTGTTCTCGGGAGACAGAAGGTATTTGCTAGAAACAGAGTCTAGGGATAAAATTATAAAAGTTGCAATTCTCCATCTTTTGGGGAATATTCTAAAGATAAAAAAGAAGTTTTCTTCTATAGAAAGTTTTCATGAAATTTCTGGTTAACACGAGAAATTGTTCCAGAGACTTGCAGGTTAGGTTAGATAACTGTGTAAGTAAGTTTCTCAGACCACTCATAGTTACACTGTCTACTATTACAGATTTTTCTGGCTGGATCGAGAAGAGAGATTCTAATTTTGGGGGAATATTTTGCCCCAAATCTGATTTTGGTCTAAGTAGATTTGAAAGGTTACTATTATCTGTTCTCAAAATGATTCATTGCTGCTCTATCAAAGAAAATGGAACAACACTGAGAGAGTATTTTGACATAGTAAATTAAAAATCTGTAACTCATTATCTGAACCTTCATTAAAGAAACTAATAGAGTCAACATTTAGGTCCAAATATTCCTCTGTAGAAAAAACTCGGACAGAATATAGGTCTGCATTACCATATTTTAAAATGAGCTTTGTGCTGTTTTGATATTGTTACAAAACAAGAAACACTATAGTAATCCATTTTGGTGTAAATGCTGGAAAGTTACATTTCAACAATAAAATAATAATTGATAATAGGCTTTTCCTACAGAAAATAGTTTTGTAAAATAATAAAAATTAATTTAAATTATAATTTTTAACTGCACTATGCATTTTTACAAGCTAAGTTTTTGCATAGTTTTTCAGAAAGGATTTTCATCGCATCAAAATTATTTACCACAGTAGTAGTTGAAGTGTACATTCCTGTGTTTTTCCGTAGATAATCGGATACTTCTGTGACGACAAACCCATCTCAAGACAGTAGGGCAGAATGGGGCGGAAAGTGGTGGTGGCTGCAAGCTGCCTGAATCAGTGGGCCATGGACTTTCAGGGTAACATGGAACGTATCGTTGACTCTATCCAGCAGGCAAAGACGGCCGGAGCCATGTATAGGAGTGGCCCTGAGCTGGAGATAACGTAAGTTTATATTTAGCAAAGCTTATACAGTATAGGTTAATTTTTGTATTGAAAAACCCTAAATGATTACTACAGTACAGTAATTTATTTTCAAGGATGTGCAGTAAACAGGAACCTAAAAATCAGTAGGAATAAAGTCTGATCATATTATTGTGATGAACATTTATGATCAGACTTTATTCCTGCTGATTTTTAGGTTCCTGTTTATTGCGCACCCTGAAATATCGTAATCATTTAGGGTTCTCATATAAAAAAATGACTAGTTACGAAATTAGAACAATCTTTTTATTGTGTTACAGGATGGCTAGAATTAAGAGTAAACAGATTCTCCTTTCATTTACTTTTATTCATTTTCTCTAACAGCTATAACAGAGTGTGTTCTGCTGTAGTGTTCCCCCTCCACAACAAGATGCCAAGTTATTCTTCTGATTTTCACTATCACTTCACATAGCTCACAATCATCCATCACCCAACTATCTAGTACTGTAAACTGTACTGTACTGTACTGTTTTAGTACTCAAAATTATTTTCATTCGATGATATTATTTAATGCTTTGCTTTTGTTTTGTACCAAACAAATTATGGGATGTATCTCAACAGAAATCAATGAATTTGCCATTTGTCATAAAAGGGATTTCAGTATTAGTCGCTGTTTGTGATCAAGGTGATGCTGTGTCTTGTCTTCCTCTGGAGTTGTGTTCTCTATCACCAAGCAACTGATGGTGGCTGGAACAACACTTCACAACATGTGAACATTTTAGTCCAGGAGACAGCCACTGAATTACAGCTTTGTTGATTCAACTGGGTGAGATGACTGCTTGTAACAAGAACATTGTCAACATGAATAATGTTCTGATGCTAATCAGTAGTTATTGTAAAAACATCTCATAAGTCACTCAGTCTTTTCCTTCTGATGATGTGCTTCATTCCTTCATTTAGTAGTAAGGTACATATATATTACAGTGAAATCCAAGAACCTGATACTTGACAGAGAAGTTGAGAGAGTTGTAAATAAAAATTTTTACTGCATGTTAACATCAAAATGTTGTGGATATTTTCAGAGGCTACAGCTGTGCTGACCACCACTATGAGAGCGACACACTCCTGCACTCCTGGGAGGTGGTGGCTGAGTTGCTCCAACATCCATCATGTACAGATATTATGATTGATGTTGGCCTCCCAGTCATGCATAAGAACACCACTTATAACTGCAGACTGGTCTTCCTCAACAGGTGAAAGTCGTTTTATTTTTTCAAGTAGAATTTGAATTCAGTTTACTGTAGTAGATTGATCTTACAATTATTTGTCATATGTCTTTTCTGTTATTCAAATCTAAAGTATTTAGCTTGGCTTTGGTCCAAGGAGACCTGTGTATAATATGCCATCAAGTCTGTGGGTCTCGAGTGAGGCTTTAACGCTAAACATTGATGGCTTACACTCATATATGGTTAGTAGATCTCTGTCATCACAACTGTTGCCCTTAGAAATGGGAAATTAAATGTGAGTTTCACCAAAGGGCTCTTGGTGCTGCACATTTGTCCTTCATTGGCTGCATCAGATTTCCAGTAACAACCCAGAGTCTCTTCTAGAAACAGTTGTTTTCTGAAGAACTCTGTTTTATGACAGACCAAAAGGTGCCTACACCCACTTTATAATACTGTACCTGTATTAGGAGATATAGGTACAGTACTGTATACTTTATATATGGGTAAGCCACACAACTGCATTATTTATAGAATAAGGTGAATTCTAGCCTCAATTTAATTCAAAATGCAAATGTTAATGTAGTTTAGTTGTGTTGATGATCTGATTGCCTGTTTTATTTGGTAACTGTTTGTAACAGCAACTATACTCTCACACTAATGACTGAGGAGCTCTGAGACTCAAAGTTTACATAAACTCAGGCCATTGTTTTAAGATATTTTAGTATGTTTTTACCCAGTAGGGTTTCTGGTCCTGAGGTGAGAATATCCAATTTTAGTCTGACACTCATGTTATAGGAAGCATTATTAGGGATGTTGGTGGGTGGCACAGATTAGATATTTCCTTGTGAGGTAATATGCCTGCACAGGGTATTTTAAGTTCACCAAGGATTGTCTGCCTTTCTTTCACAGCAGAACATAGGGGCTGGTTTACAAAATAGACTTGCTAATACAGTACTGTATTGTATCCTCCAGTTATTGTAGTGAAACAAGATACATGAGTACTGTACTGTGTAACTTGTGTGGATCCAGACCACATGGGTGAGATATGTCCACAAAGAAAGGTGTTTAAACTGGCAGGTCCTTAATGTTTAGGGTTTATTCCAAGACTCTTTCCTCTGATGGCATCTCAGAGGAAAATTTCAAGTTTGACTCAGCTTTCTCCAAGGTAGATTATATTCTTGTCATTAACTGGTTATTTAACTTGTATTTTAAAATTGAATATAGATATCTCTTAGTGATTTTGAGTTAAGATCATTTGTGATTTTAAGTAAATTTGTTCAGCTGAGCCACAGAGGCAAGTTGTGTGTTTGATTGACTCACACTCACCACAACCATTGGATTTCTTGGTCAGGATTTTATTGTGTTGACAGGATTTGGGGTAATGCTCTGCTTTATGGAGTATATTTTGCTGCTGACTCACTTTGTAGGAGGAGAGTAACTTTGTTTCTTAGTGATGACATGTGTGAGTGTGTGTGTGTAGACTGCAGCCCAAAAGATACAAGACGTTAATATTTTAATAAGGAAATTGGAGGCAAAGGGGTTCTGTTTCTGGTTCATATGTTGAAGAGAGACCAGCTCACCCTCAACCCCAGGTCATTATATTCATTTGAGGAATGGTCTTGGTGGTAGTGTAGCAGACCCATCTTCATGAACAGATGTAGCAGCTTCAGTCTCCATTGAGGGCTTGAACCTGGAAGTGAGTAAATCTTTGAGACAATCAGAATAAAAAGAGTATGGAGATAGTATTGCCATTTTTAACTTGTTCCTTCCTTCAGATGTTATTACTGTCCTGTATACAGAAGAGTTGGGTTGTGGAAAGACCCCACTCTGAGGGCTAGGGTTGTGACAGGAGATAAGTGCCAGATGTAACTGTAGAGGGTTAGGTTATGCTACAATCTGTTAATTTGATGAAAGAAATTATAAGTCTCCTTGTGCCATCTTCTCTTTCATGATAATTATATTGACAAAGATGTAAATACTGTACATATATTTACAAGAGTTAATTATAGTCGTGAATACTAAGAGTCTTTCTGAATGAGCAAGAAAGGGGTAAGTTGCCAAATATTAATACTTCTCAGTCTCGTTTATATGTAATACTGTACCAAGGCTTCACATTATCCACGGAATTACCCCCCAAAATTCACTGCTTATACTATATTTGGTTTTGTTCGTTCAGGAAAATTCTACTGATCCGTCCAAAATTAACTCTGTGTGACGACGGTAACTACAGGGAGACCCGGTGGTTCACTGCCTGGCGTAAGGTGAGACTTAATGTTTGTATAGTAAACTCTCTCAGTACGGACTTCTCAATACAGCACCAAATATTCCCAATAATAGTCTTCCCAATATCAGATGCTCCCCATAGCAAACTTCTCAATACCAGATACAGTCCATGCTTCACTTTAACAACTAATTGGTCCCTCAAAAACGGTCGTCAAAGTGAAAATCGTTAATGTGGTGAGTATAGTTTATTGCTGAATGGGTCAACTGGTACCAGCCCTCAGACACTTTCAACCCCACAAAGAATTACAACCACTTATTCACACACATTAATGCTGCATGTAGAGTTAACAACTAATAATAACTATCCTTTAGACACTCGTTGAACTGCTTAATGAGACTGTTTGCTGTCATCCAAGGCAGGAGAGTGGTGTTAGTGCCCCTGCCCCCACACTGTGTTGCTTCCCCAGCACCACCACCAACTGATCCTTCAGTCTCAAAGCCTGTGAAGTCTAGTGGTAAATCATCTAACAGATCACACAGGTCAATCTTGAACATTATCATCAACAGTGCTGTCATCTCTGTCTCTACCACAGGTAGAGAGGTTACACAACACAGTCACAGATAAGTGAGTAGGTTACACTGCACCTGTTCACACGCTGATCAAAACAAACCACCCCGCTCGCTGACTCCATAAAAATGGTTGTCCAGAGTGACTATCAACTTGAGCTACTGATCGTTATTGTGTTGAAATGTATCATTAATGTGTTGAGGTGTAGCATTTCATTACTTTTGTTATTGTGATGAATCATTAATGTGAAACTCGTTAAAGTGAAGTGTGTACAGCACTGTATTCCCAATAATGGACTTCTCAATACCAGATGCTCCCATTAACAGATGTCTTTTTGACTGGTATGATTAGTGGACTTGGCCGGTGATCCGGAGATGGGAACATTGTCTGTTATTGACCATAGAGTCAGTTAGTGCATGTTGGAACTTGCTAGAATCAGTACAGCTGATAATGTTTACAGGACGAAGCCAAACAACATACTGAGGCTGGTGCGTAACTATACAGTACACAGACTTATGTAAGCTACACTTACTAATATTTCCTCTTAGCACAGTCTATTAAAAAATCACCTAATAAATATATTTCATTAATTACTATTTTCAATGGAAATCATCAGACATTAAGATTCTTTAATATATAGTGTTGATAGTACAGTGGCAACACATACACCTCTCACTACTGTGTCCCAGATTCACTCCCTGGCTCAGGACAAATGTGAGAAGGTGTTATCCAGTGTGACCCTTCCAAACATGGCAGGATTTCTTCAGTTCTTACAGTCACTTCCTGAACTAACACTGGGTAATAAGGGCAATAACAAAGAACAGACCAACTATCTGAAGGGCTAGTAGACTGACAAATGATGAAATGATAAATAAAATATACTGTACCAATATCTGGATATTGGTGCAGTAGTTGAAGCGTTTGTTCATTTTAGACACAGTGTAGACACCGCACAGCCACACCAAGTTTACGTATGTTACACGCACTAATATTTCCTCTGAGCACATTCATAAAAAAACTTACAGTAGTGTACTGTACTAATATATTTCATATACTGTATTTAGACTTAAGAATTGGCCTCCACCTGGCACTGAAGGTCATAAATAATAGACTTTAGGAGTACTATATTGAAGGTGTGGAGTTGTTTTCACATTGATCTTCACTTTATGCCTCACCAGCTATGAAACCTTCTGTCCATCAGTTATTTCCTTTAAATACAGCTCAAGGTCTTATACAGTACAGTACTATAGTCTTGTGTAGTACAGTACTGTACTCCCATTATTAGTCTAACACCAAGATTTTCTCATAGTAAGCTGCTGTGTCCTTCCAGATTCGTCAAGTGGAGGATTACTACCTTCCAAGGATGATCAGTAGACTAACAGGACAGGTGACGGTCCCATTTGGTGATGCAGTTATTGCCACCAGAGACACATGTATTGGATATGAAATTTGTGAAGAACTTTGGAATCCAGAGAGGTAGGTTTATTGCTTCTTGTGATAATATGAGACCTAGTTCTGTTAACTCTTAAACCCTTGTGTCTGGGATCCACTCTGAGCTGAATAAAATGGTCTGGCATTAGTAAAAACAAAAATTAAAAGTGGCAGCCCCTATTGTGAAGGGGTTAAGTTATTTTTTTTTATACTGATTAGCCCACCCGGGCACAGGTCACTGACTCACATCGGGGCCTGGGAGCGATAATGTAATAATAATAATAATAATAATAATTCATAGCAAATATATTTTATAATCATAAATAAAAATAAATAAAAACATAATATAATAATAATTAAAATATTAATTATTATAATAATAATAATAATAATAATAGCAACACTGTATTAATAATAATAATAAAGAACCATAAAGAAATACAAAAATGAAAAAAGATCAAAAGTGAGAAACAATACTGTATATGTATATTGTGTTGTCAATAGTATGAGAAACAATTGAGACCCTGCAATTGTGTGTAAATGAGGCAGAAAGTCAGATCAGCAACCTGGGACTTGGTCACAATTTTTGTGATGCCATATGGCAGCAGGATCTACCATTAGACAAAACATTATGCTTCCAATATCTTGGTTGAGGTGAGAGAATTTTGTCATTTGTCATTTGTCTTCTGTGGGTCATGTGATATTGAGAATGGTCACAAGTTCAACTCCCACCCATGATAGAGCACCAGGTTCCCTCCCTTATGTCCATAGTAGTAAATAAATACAGTACATGCTTGGATGCACTTGTAGACAGTGAAACAATGCTCCACTGACTTAACAATAAAGTAATCAGAGAAAGTGTGGACCAACAATTTGATTAAGGAGTATCTGGCAAAGAGAAGAAATAATAATGGTAATTATGGACCAAGAAAAAGAACATGATATTAAGTAAATAAAAGAATTATGTAGGGATTATCAATATATAATTTGTTCATGAAAAATAGTAGAATCTTGTCAGCAATAGGGCAACACTGACTCCCATTGAAAGAGATATATTATGGACGAGTTATGTTAGCGTGATTATTTAATTTTTTCCTGAATGGGTTAGTGACAGAGGTGAAAGTAAGAGTGACTGATGGGGTGTTTGTTTGGTGATGACAGCAGTGATATGGGATGTAAGTGTGGGGTGAGTCAGCTGCTGTTTAAAGATGACATGTCTCTGGTGGGCAGTTTGGAAGATGATTTGGAATTGTTAGTTAGTTTGAAATGTGGACAGTAGAAGAAGAAAGTTGACACTAAGTGTGTACAGTGCAAAGAAAAAGTAAACAGTCAATTGTACAGTACAAAGAGAAAGTTAACAATGTGTACAGTACAAAGAGAGAGTTGACAGGGTGTGTACAGTACAAAGAGAGAGTTGACAGGGTGTGTACAGTACAAAGAGAGAGTTGACAGACAGTGTGTACAGTACAGATTTTGAGATCATAATTTGGTTCTATAATGTTACAGTTCTCACATTCCGATGTCTCTTGACGGGGTGGAGATAATCGTGAATGGCTCGGGTTCGTACACGGAGATACGCAAGGGCTACGTGTCCCGGGACCTCATCAAATCTGCAACGGCCAAGAGCGGAGGATGTTACTTGTTCAGTAATCTGAGAGGATGTGATGGTGAGGCTTAATATTTGTCTGTTACATTGTTGGTAACCTGACATGTACAGATATGATTGATTTATAACTAATAATACTGTTTTTCATCCTATTATATGTTGGAAGCACAAAAAGGGAAGAAAAAAAACGCCCCTTAATACAAAGAAAACCCTGAGAAAATATGTTAAAATTCCAATCCCTCCTCGGCTAATGATCCTCAAGTATAGGGGGTCCCCGGGTTAAGAACGAGTTCCATTCCTGAGGACATTCTTAAGTCGGAAATGTATGTAAGTCGGAACACATACCCTATGCGCACTATATCATAGCCCGAGTCCTTTTATATACTGTACAGTAGACCCTTGCCATTCGAGAGGGATAGGTTCCAAGAAATGGAGCGAATTGGCAAAACTGCGAATAGCAACTTATGCTGCCTTAGTGCACTACTGTATACCTGTACCAAACAACTGACCAGCTGCAGCAGCACTGATCCCCTCTTTTAACTTATCTAAAAATAAAACTTTCTTTTTCAGGGTCATCACTGACTTCTGCCTTTTACATTTCACTCTACTATCACTGACATAGGCAGTGTTTTAGAGGCCATTTCACACAGAAACACTAAAGTTTTGAGACAACAACATGAGATGCTGTGTGGGGTGACTCGTTGTGCTGTGGGAAAAGGCTTGCAATCTAGCCACCATAGCCACCATCTGCTTACTGCAAATCGTCGAAATCATGAATCGCAAACTCGCGAATGGCAAAGGTCTACTGTATCTTGAATCACTTAATTTAAGAGAAAAGAAGAAATTGAATGACAAAATACAGTAAAGGAAATTGAAGATTAACATTTACATTGAAACCTGGAGCTGGCTTGTGTGTAGAGATGGGCATTTGTAGGAGTGACAGAGGCTTTATTGGGATGGTTGAACTGAAACTTTCTTCTTTTTGTCAATCTCTCTGCATCATTGTAGATATTCAGTAATACCTCGATGAATCTTGGTGAATCTTGCTGTGTTAGTATCTTGCTGTTCAAATTTAAACAATCCTTTCAATAAGCCTGAAACCATCTGCCATTTCTTTTATAATGAATGCCTTTGGTTCTGGAGTTTCACTTTCCTACATCCTCGGACAAAATTTGCTTCTCTAGTTCAATCAGGTCTTCATTGCTTAATTCTTCAGCATGAGACTCAAGCAACTGTGTGACATCATCCTCATAAATATCAAGCTAGAGTTGGTTCCCAAGATCTACCACTGTTTGTGTCACTTCCTAACATCATTTTCAAAGCCCTGAAAACATGGACAAGCTGTGGGCAGTGTTTTTCCAAACACCATTTGCCCTTACCTTGAACTGATTTAAACCAGCCCCTACTAGCAACAAAAATCTTTCTCATCACTTTCACCACCTCATTTAGCCTTCAAGTCAGCGTGCAAGCTTCTCACTTTTTCCTGAATCAAGGCTAGACTTTGAGGCAAATCCTGTTGATTTTGACCTTCCACCCATATCACTAACAATCTTTCCATTTCAATTAACAGTCCACATCTTTGTTTTGTTATCACAATTGAATGCATTGGTGCAGATCCTTTTATATATTCAAGAATTTTCTGCTTGTCTTTCAAAATTGTTCTACTGAAGCCCAACACTTTACCAATGACTGAAGGTGTTTTGCCTTGTTCAGAACGTTTAATTACATCAACTTTCACTTCCATTGTAATTGTTTTCCTTTTCTTGGATACACTACTATCACTTGCATCAGGTTTGCATGTAGGGGCCATGATGAGGGAAAAAAAGAGTTAATAAGCAAAAAACTACAGTTTGCACTTGATCACGTGCATTAACCAGCAGCTGGTCATTTCAAGTACGTGATCGCCGATGTTTACTATCTCTGGTCTTTCATGTACTGGAACGTTTTCCAAATACAGCTCCTCCCCGACTTTCGACTTAAGACCACCCGCACTTACGACCTGCCTCAGTCGTGCCAAAATTTTTTCAAATTACGTATTTTCAAGCCCCAACATCAGTACACAGCTACTCAAGCTCTAAAGAAGTAGTGAGAATCCTCCGGTCAGATCACAACACAAAATCTCCCAATAGATCAGCTTTTGTTAAATTTTATCATGTAGCTGAGGAGTTGAAGATGTGATGTGGACCTGGTGTGGTGTTTAAGGCAGATCACATCTCAAGTCCTATACAGTAACAGTAATCATCATCATATATGAACATATTTCTGTAGATAGTAAACATTCTCAAGATCTATTATATGCCCCAAGTGTACAGACATAAATGTAACTCTTATTTTTTCCTATTTTTAATCAACAGGTGATCGAGTATATTTTTCTGGAGACTCGATGATCGGTCTTAATGGGAAGATCGTGGCCCGTGCAACTCCGTACAGCTTGGTGGAGGTGGAGGTGGTGACTGCAACAATTGACTTGGAATCCATTCGCTGCTATCGTTCATTATTTCGAAGCAGGTGCCTCCATGCGTCTCAGAGCCAAGTTTATCCTCGTGTTCAGGTATATTGTCTTTTGCTTTTGTGTGTCTCTCCTTATTAAAATATAAAGGAAAAAGAAAGGATACTCAAATGAATACTGAATTAATTTAGAGACTTCTTGTAATCTTTCTCATCTCTTCACTATTAGAGTCTTTCATAACTTTTATTGGTGTAATCTTTTATAAGTGTTCACTCGGAAAAGACTCATAATATGGAAGTACTGTAGAAGGTTGTTTTTACTTTTATTAACACCCTCAGTGAAAACAGACTCGGCCCAAACTGTACCGTATATGGTGACTTTAAGCTAGTCTTGTTTTGTATATAATGAATCTTTCCACAAAGTGTTAAATAGCTTGCTTTATTCTGTTATATGATTACTGTATATTAATATTAATACAGACATGCAGGAGGGGATAATAGTTAACTAAAATTACATATATTATCAAGGGTTATCAAATGTGGTGTCATATGTATAAATATCGTTAGGCTATTTCTTGTTAGTTGACACTGAACAGAAGTATCAGTTTCTACAATATTTGTGCTGTATGTTTATTAATGAAAATTGGGTTCCAGGGAATATCGTCATGGTTAATTAAATATACTGTGTTAATATATTGTAGAGATTATGATCCGGTAATTTCTTTGATGTAAATAAATTGGAGAATTAGTGAAGGCTGTCAGGTTATCAATCATTATTCCGTACACTCACTCCAAAAGGTATCTTAAAGGATGGATTTGATGAATTTCAAAATGAACACTACGACGCCTTTTGTTTCAGTAGGGTTGTCAAAATCCTTTATCCGTTGTGTCTTATTGTCTGACACAAAATCATTTAAGATACAGTACTGTATATGTACTCTCGATTTAACAGAATCTGATGTAATATAACGAACTCTCGATTTAGTGGAAGGATTTTTCTTTTATTTTTCACTCAATTAAGTGAACTACAGGATTTGTTCACTAAATCGAGATTGATTCCGTTAATACGCTCACACCTACAGAGACACCTCAGACACATGATATGTACATGCAGGTAGAAACATTAGAAACATTATTCTTGGCTTACCTTAAACTAGGGGGTTCAGTGATTGTTTTAAATTTTTTCTATAATTTCTAAAAAAATTTCCAATTGATAGCTGCACACTTTTGACATTCTCCCCCACACCACTTCCTCTCTGAGACTTCTAAGAGACTTTCGGCATGATGTCTAAGCACAGTAGTTAGTTGACTGAGAGGTAGACCGAAAGGTAGCAGTGAACAACACACTCGGTGGCAGCAGGACCCAGACTGAGCAGATGTAAATAAACTCCACGCTCCAAGCGACGCATTTGGTGCGGAATTTAACAGAATCATGCTCGATTTAGTGAACTAGTTTGCTAAATCGATTGAAAATAACGGAAAGTTCAATTGAGCGGAAATTTCAATTTAATGGAAAGGGGTGGTTCAAATTAGTTTGTTAAATTGAGAAAATACTATATTTTTAGGGTTGAGTTTACAGTAAAGTCTTCCCATAAATTATTTACTGATAACATTCATTGACACAGTATTAATGAAACAAATACTCTAGTAGGATTTGCAGCTCACTGATGGTCATAAAAGTATTGGGGAAGGAGGAAGTGAGGGAGGGAGGAGAGTTGGCAGTGATATGCTGTGAACAGAAGTCTGGTATAAAAGAAATTTTGGGTAGAAAGTCTACACTATACAAACAATTTTGGTTTTTATGAAGCCAATTTAAATGAGAACAGCCTGTACTTCTGACTCCTCCATCAGTATTCCTTATTGTTTGTATTATATTATACCCCATCCATCATTGCATCTGCCTTTTTCAAACAAATTATTTAAATGTTCCTTTTCTGTACACACCTTCATGCTGTTCTCTATACCTCACATCTGATATGGTCATTCATTTAAGATTATACTCAGGGTCACTTTACCACAGTATTGTCTTCTTGCCAACCATTATTTTATGTTACATGATAAAATATATATTGAAGTTATTGTACAGATATTTTGTGTAACTCCTGACAGGTGAACTTCGCCTTGTCCAGTGATGAAGACATATTCCTGCCCTTGTGTTCACCGATAGAATGTAATAGTCCTTTACCAGAGGAAGAAATCCTTTATGGGCCAGCTTGTTGGTTATGGGACTACCTCCGACGGTCTGGCCAGGGGGGATTCCTTCTTCCATTATCAGGAGGTGTTGACTCGTCTGCCACAGCGACTATTGTCTATTCCATGTGTCATATGGTGGTTCAGGCTGTTGCTAATGGTGAAGAGAAGGTATGAAAAATACTGATCCTTGCAAATAATCCTGTGTAACCTCTACAAGTACAGTACAGTCATCACTTTTCAACACTCACTGATGACACAAAAGACACGTTGGTATTCTAGATTTTCTGACACGACTTAAATACTGAAGACAAGCTGATGACACCACAGGTTTGTCCTAATAAGCATGATATCCTGAATTACCAACTTAACTTAGATGTATAAGTGGAATTATAGATAATAGTACAGTACAGTATATAGGCAGATACTATACCAAGGATTTTTTTAACCACTTGTGTACATCGTTTCCTCTCTGCTGAATAAAAATTGTCTGGCGTTAGTCAAAACATATAAAAGAGATGTCCTCATAGTGAAGGGGTTAAGAAAGAGGTTTCTATACATGGTAAGAGTAAGACTAGTATGGAAATACAAGTAATCTGAATTTAAACACTGCTGTCCTTAATTGGTCAGGTGTTGGAAGACGTCCGACGCATAGTGTCGCAAACTGACTATGTTCCTCGAGATCGTCGAGAACTCTGTGGCAGACTTTTCCACACTGTCTACATGGCTACAGAAAACTCATCATCGGAGACAAAGGCTCGAGCAAGGCTTCTCTCTCAGCAGATTGGAAGGTAAATTTGTTCTTTCATTGTATGCCGGGTAAGCTGTATCAAGCTTTGCAGTAAGGCATTTTGTCGAATCATCCGTTTGTGTATGACATTTACAAGCTTCTTCAGACAATCAAATATCCCCTTTTCTTTGGTTATCCATGACCTGAGTTGAATCCCAGTTATTGTATGCAAATGTCTGTTGTTTTATAGATGTTCAGTTTAAAGAATAAAAAAATAACAGACTCACAAACTCCTGCTTCTCATCACAGAGTTGACCCCCAAGCAGTAAAGGTACAAGAAACTAATGTGACTGAACATTTTGTACACCATTAAATTGTTTATCCCTGGACCTGCAGATAACCATCAGCTGTGATGTTAGTCTGAAAATTTGATAAACTTTTATTTTTATAATGCAGGGAGGCCAGAATTAAGAGTAGATACCCATGTACATTCTCCCTTCATTCATTCATTGTCTTTCACTTATTCTTACTCTTGTAATAGAATGTGTTGTGTTATAGTGCTGTACTCCCTTCTTTCAATAAGGCTTCAACTACCTACAATATTTGGCTAACCCTTCATTTCACTAAGTCAGCATCACCCACCACCACACTTCCTGCCTTATCCCAAAACCACTTGATGTTATGCCTTGGTTCACACACACACACACACACACACACATTGCTTTGCTGCACCCCGTCACTCTTCTTTGCTTTCTTCATGCCATCTACTCATCCTTCTTCTTGCTCTTCCCCCTTCCTTTAAACCTCTGAATAACAAACACTTTTTCACCACATGTTTCACTCTCCATCCTCCACAAATACTGGTACCTTCTGAGCAGTCCCTCATACTGTACACTCCCTACCTGTCTCTCTCTTTCACAGTAATTATCATCTTTCAATAGGAAGTTAATCATCCTATGATACTGGAGAAGATTTGGGAGCTGTTTTGCAAGAAAAATAAGATACTGAGATATTGTAGATAACACACATATCAGGCTCTGTCCATCAATGTGTGGAGGCATTTTCTTGGTGTGACCCGACTGCAGTTCAACCATTGATGGAAAGAGCATCATCTATGTGTTGTGAACATAAACATAAGGCTGGCAGGGGATTTTTGGCAAACTTTTGATGTTGACTACACTGTGAGCACATAACTGATGGGCCTTTTAAAATAAGTGGATTAGGGAAGCATAGCCAGCAATCATTAAAAACAAATTGAATATTGTAGCTTTATATGCAGTATATATATACATGGCTTCATGATAATTTTTTATCCATATCTGGGGGGGATTAAGATCTGGGGTTACAGTAACTTGCAACAATTAAAAATGATAAGGGAGAGCATTGCAGGACAAATGTAGAAGACAACAGGAAAGGGCCAGGAGAATGAGTAGAAAAAATCTATGAATATTTGCCCATATCTTCAGCATGCATGTTTACAAAGTGATCCTTAGTCTCATTGTTAAATTTTCCAAACACTTCAAACGTTTTTATATAAATTTTACTCCTTTTTTCCCAGCTACCACATACCAATAACAATTGACAGTATGGTATCAGCTGCCCTGGGTATATTCAGTGCTGCCACAGGTTTCATCCCAAAGTTTCGAGTGCGTGGAGGAACTACAAGAGAAAATGTTGCTCTACAGAATGTGCAGGCACGACTTCGCATGGTGCTAGCTTATCTCTTTGCTCAGGTAAGATAATCAGTATTTATTTATAAACTAAATACTCCTGTACCAGTAGATTCCACATACTTTCTTCTATATGATGAAGGGACTTACATTGAACCTCCTTCATCCATGATAGTCTGTACAAAATATCTTGTTGTCAGTACTGTACTGTACACCCTTCACACTTATGTTCTCCTTCAGTATGTCCTGCCATATCTAATTGATTTTGTGAAGATATACAGACTCAATAATAGTTAAAGAGGCCAATGTCTTGATGAAAATGTAACATCTTCCCCTTTTGTGACCTTTGAACCTGTTAATGGTAGTATGGAAGGCCTATGGTCTGAGCAGTAGATCTGGTTACCGACCCTTTTTTTTGCCAACAATCAATTAAAGCCAGGAAAGAGCTGATGACTCCATAATACTTATTGTGAATTATTGTTATCTACTCCTTAAGTGCTGATAACCTCATCTATCCATGCCACCATCCCCTCAGTGACAAGTTGACTGCATAATGGGTATGTTTCTATGGTCTTATCACAGAATATTTAGCCTTTTTTGTAATGTTTTGTGAATGTTATTTTACAAATTGACTGAAGAAGTATCAGACAGAATCTGTGCTCGGGTGAATAAGGTGTTGGAGGAGGGAGAAAATAAATAAAATGATGTTGCAGATGGATTTGAAGAAGACAAGCCCCTTATTTGGTGCCAGCTGTGGAAGGAGGGTGTATAGTGGAAGGAGGGTGTATAGTATAAGGAAAGTTAGTCAGTTAGATAATAATTAACAGATTAACCCTGGCAAACACTAATGGTGCAATCAAAGGGCTCAATGATCACCTTCTAGTACGCTGCCTTTTGTTACAAGACTTGCCCGTCCACACGCTCTACCAAGAAAATTAAAATTATTATATAACCCCTAATATTTGACACCTCTGGGACTCCCTGACCCACAGTGCCAACAGGTGACTGACTGACCCCGAGGATATGACCACAACTACTGTACATAATTATCTTCTTTCTCTTCTTCTGCACCGTTATGAGTTATTAAAGAGTTTATATATTATGTATTGCTTAATGTAATTCAAGTTAAACTTATAGAGACTTCCCATAACCACCTACCATAGATGTTAATATGACAGGTTATAAATTTGTGCCTCTTTTCTTATACATACCTACAGGCTAAACCTAATTCACAAGAGGCTCTCTAACTGATTTTTTGTTTTGTATTGGTACACATTTTCCCACAGACTCCCATTGTAAAAGTGAGATCTTACAAAACAATTCCCTTTAATGTCTTAGAATGGTATAAAATGCTATAAATATGTTTTTAATTAATATTTATAAAGTACATAATGATTGTAAGACAATAATAAACTTATTAAGTGAAATACAGTACAGTAATAATTTCATAACTGTGTTTACTGAGTAACCAGACAAAATTGTAACAAAGTGATCAGTATGTAACACTAGGTCAGCATACAGTAGACCCTCGCCAACTGCAGATTTACCATCCTTGTATCCACAATTATCACTCTGTATACCATTTCACCAACCACAGCATTTAGTTTAATGTATCCACGGATTATCTTGGCGTCTTTATCCCTCTGCAGTCTAATATATTCCTCCATAAATGTGAGGAATAAATAAAAATAATATTAATAAATAAAAGAAAAGAAAAATTACTGCTTTGCATTTCTCAGTCATTTCACTTAGGAGACAGGAGCACACTCCCCCAGACACACAATTGTGTGCTAACTCCCACAACATAAAAAATGTTCATTCTCTTATATGTTTTTACCTTATGATAATCATTTATATTTATTTTTTTGCACAGCTTGACCTAGTGTAGGAGGAGACCGAGATCTCCTCCCGCTTCCCCTCTTTTCCTCCCAGGATCCCCACTGTTAGCAAACAAACACAAAAAATGCATTATTTTAGTATATTTTCATTATTACTAATAAAAACTTTTTTCATAGCTTGAGGATTTTTGCTCATAAATCAAGTTTGTGACCTTTTTTTGTGTAACTGTGAAATTTCATAAATAAAAGTTTCTTAAATTCAGGTCTGCCTGTATTAAGAACAAATGCTTTCAGTTTGTATTATGGACATTTTATTTTCCAGTTGATGCTGTGGGTGAGGGGAAGACAAGGTGGACTACTTGTTCTGGGGTCTGCTAATGTGGATGAAGCATTGCGAGGATACATGACTAAATATGACTGCAGTTCTGCTGACATTAATCCTATTGGTGGGTTTTCCAAAGCTGACCTCAGGAGATTTCTGCTTCTGGCCAAAGAAAGGCAAGTTTATACACTAGTCACTTAAATGTACAGTCTCTCCTCGACTTACGACGGGGTTCCGTCCCGACGACCAGGTCGTAAGTTGAAAAGGCGAAAATAATACATAGACATTCTAAAATGGGTGTCTCTTTTTCTTCTCAGCACCACGAGAACTCTCACTTTTACGCTTACCAGCCATTTTAAAGGGAGTTACAAACAAAAATTTTGTCAGTACACAGCACGATCACTGACGTCGGGACTCGAAAATACGTAATGTGAAAAATATTTTATATGACCATGGCCGTCGTATGTCCAGGTTGTCGTAAGTCAAATATGTTGTAAGTCGAGGAGAGACTGTATATGTATTAAATATAATTATTGTATTATGATTAATTGTATATCTTAACACCTTCCTGAGTTGACTTGTATTACCAGTCAAGGTTTGAGAACTCAAAGATCCTTATCACTGGTGGCTGAAGCTACTTGAGTACTGTAGTTAGTGTAAACCTCCTCTGTTGCCACTATTGTACTGTATAGCCATTAAAAAGGGGTCTTGGAGCCATCTATTGCCACTAATGACTGAAGGGTAAAGTTTAGCTGTCACACTAACAAGATACAGTACTATTGTGTCATCAAGTCAGCCCTTACATCCCATCACCTCTACCTCATATTAAGAGCTAAGTAGAACTCTGTCCCTTCAAGCATTTTATCAAAGATTAGCCTATAGCAATGCATCCTTAGGTATTAAAATTAGTTGTTGAGGGCCTGGTGTTCAACCATTTGACTCTGGTTTTGGTTGTGACTATGTGAGTTGCTTGATCCATGTTTGGTTATGAATTTGGATTTCAAGATCAACTCCTTATTTTTATATTGGATACTGTATTAATATTCTTGAAGGAACTTTTATTATTATATAGTATTAGTCACTCATACTTACACCCTTATGACCAGCATAATTCTCATAATTTATGTCTGCAACTTAATACTGTGTTTATGATCTAGTTACTGTTGAGTATGAGAACATATATATACAGGTATATATATATATATATTTTTTTTTTTTCATCATCCTTAACATGTTTTACAGACTGAACCTTCCTGTTTTGGGTGACATCATAGGAGCTCCACCCACAGCAGAACTTGAGCCACTAAATGAGGGAGAATTGGTACAGACAGATGAAGCTGATATGGGAATGACATACGATGAATTGTCCATGTACGGAAAGCTGCGAAAAGTTGAATGTTGTGGTCCTTTCTCCATGTTTGGCAAGCTGGTCCACCTGTGGTCTGACTGCTGCACTCCAAAAGAAGTATGTCAAGTCTTGTATACTTTGTTTTATCCAGAAATATAGATTAAAAATTTCCCTGATGGGTATTACAGCAAATTCCCATTCTAATGAAACAACTTTTCTCTCTCTCTATCTCTCTCTCTCTCTCTCTCTCTCTCAATAAGAATGTGGTACCAATCATCCATTGTGTTCAAGCCAGCTTGGTGTTAGTTCTTTGTTGTATTACTCCACTTGTGACTCTAACTGAACCTGTATTACCTACTGCTGTACTGTGTATGGGGGCTCTCTCTGTGGAATAAAAGTGTTGTCCCCAGGGATTAATACACCTTGAGACTACCACTCACTGCCAGCCCCTTATATACCAGTAGGTTAGTGTCTCACTGAACATATTGCATTATCAAACAATTAATCAGAGTACCGTCCTCATATCTGATGACCCAGTTTTTAATTTCTTTCATCCATCCCAGTTTCTGCTTTCCCCTGACCCTCCTACCCTCAAGTTTGCCCATTAATATTTCTGTTATTATCCTCTCATCCCTACGTATATGACCAAAGTATCTCTTTTTTTTTATTTTTCTGTACATTTCAAGTATTTCTCTTGAAGTTTTTGCTAATCTTAATACTGTACTTCATTTATTTTCCTATCAGTGTAGCTTATTCTTAGCATTACTTCTTTCTGGTGTCTGCTGAAAGTGTCCATGCATAAGACCCATACGAAAGCCTTTCAGTAACCTTTTCTTAAATTGAAGTTAATATCTCATTTCATTAGGTGTTTTAGATTATTAAATGCTGTTTTTGCTTGCCCTATTCTTGTTTTGATTTCTTCTGTACATATACCATCACAGCTAATGTTACTTTACAAATACTCAAAAATTTTCACTTGTTTAAGTTTCCTTTGCCTAACCTAATTTTTTTTTTTTTTTTCAATTTGTAAACAACCATTACTTTCGTCTTAACAGCATTAACTCTTAAACCATATCTTTCACTTTTTTTCCCCAATCTATTAATAAATGAATTTTTTTAATGTCTCTTAACTGTCTGTGATAAGATAAGTATCATCTGCATAGCATACAGTATTTGATATTACTTTACCATTAATGTTTAATCCTTCATTATCACTTATAACTTATCACATTAAGAGTTCTGAATAAATATTATACAATGGAGAGAGAACACAGCCTTGTCTTACTCCCTGTCTAACTGTGAACCAATTTGCAAGTTCATCATTTACTAACACTATAGTTTCCTGTTGCCAGTAAAGATTCTTTAAAATTCTAATATCTCCTTCATTGATGTCTATTTTTTACAAGATCTCTATAAACTTATTGTACTTTACCTTATCAAAAGCTGTTTCAAAATCAACAAAGCAGATACAGGTATACAAATTTCTTTGGGTCTCTGAAGCCTTTTCACTCAAAATTGTCAAATCAAATACAGCTTCTCTAGTTCCTTTTACCTTTCTAAATTCATTTTGCTCTTCAGATAACTCACTTTCTTTTCTAAATTTTATTTTATTTAAAATTATATTTTATAAACTTTACAGGCATAACTTATTTAGTTTAGAACAATAAGCTTAATATTGTCATGCCTGCAAAGTTAGTCATCCTGTACAGTTTACAGAACACAGAAGGACACTTGTATGTTATTCTTTATTCCTCAGGTAGCAGAGAAGGTCAAGGTGTTCTTCAGGTTTTATAGTGTCAACCGCCACAAGATGACAGTATTAACACCGGCCTATCATGCCGAGACGTATTCCCCCGACGACCACCGCTTTGATCACCGCCAGTTCCTCTACAACTATCGCTGGCTCTGGCAATTCAGGGCTATTGATAGAGCAGTAAGTCAAAACTATACCTTTATTATTCCATATTGTGGATTTATGACTGTCAGATACTGTAGTTAATGCACAGGTTAGCTAGATACTAGGAGTAGAAAGCACTAAATCAGAACTAAAAGAGGTTATTATACCATTATATTTAAGGAGATATGTTGCTAAAATTGTTGTGTTAATGTGTGTGTGTCAGGTGAAAGCTTCATGTAGATACTGGTAAACACTGGATGAGAGGCAGTGATGAGGTGAGATAAGTGAGTGGTGAAGGATATTGCACGTCTCTGCTCTGGGTGAGGTAAATCCATCGTTTTATCACTGAATGGAGTAGAAAAGGCTGCCTGTGATGATGGTGGTGAGTCAGATGATGAATAACATTGTGGTGAATAAAATGGTACATTTTTACTTGTGTACAAAGAAATGAATATTCCCTTTATGTGTTTGCCCTTAGGAAAAGTATTTCTTTTACCTGTATTGTATAAATGTTTGTGTCTACACACACACAAAAAAACACATACGTAGAAATAAATAATAATGGGAAATTTTCTCACAAATAATCATAAACAAATTTATTAAAAATGTGACCCTCAAGTCCTTGCTGGATATATTATGTAAGTAACCCTGAATATGTGCCATGGTCAAGAACCTCTTATCTCTGTAAAACACTATTGACCATATAGAACTTTTATCATGACTATTTGTTGCATTGTTCTTCAGGTAGAAAGACTGGAGAATGGAAGGAGTCGAGAAGAGCAAGTCGAACGAAGTAGTTCCATGCGCTCCAACAAAGACAGTCGGTCGTCTTCATTCACACGGCCCTCATCGCGCTCATCCAATAACTCACTCACAGGATCTACAGGTATGGTGTAGTTATCAATTGAGTCTTGGTTTCATTACTTAACATTGCATTAAAAGAATACAGACAACTTCAGGGACTTGTGTAGTGCCTTTAGTGTATATTATAGAATCAAGTTCATATACCTTTGTGAGATCAATCTATTTGCAGTCACCATTATCAACATCAGGTACTCAAGGATACTGTATTTATAAAAACAGCAACTACCTGGATATATAACTTAATGAGAAATAGAATTATAACTCAGAGGTTTTCAAAATTAACTGGGCATATGTGGTGCAGTGCATGAGTATATTTACACACATATTCAACTTACAGGGAGTGAGTCACATCGTCGAGGTGTGGAAGTAACAACTGGTCCAGCCATTCAAGATGCACACACTGTACATGTCTGCACTACTGAGAATGCATGTAATCCCATCCAAGTGACTGTACCACAGGACAGTGATCAACCTGAAGATGGGAATGTGTGTTTGACCTCCCCTCATCGATCATCTGGTGAGTCTGACCGGAAACGTCGTGGGTCAGCGTCCATCATCGACACGATCCCTGGACTTGTTGCACAGAAAATAAGTCATTGCAGGGATTTTACTCCTGCCTCCCTTCAACAACACACTACAACAATACAACTCTAATGAGATCCTAGATAAATTGTGATTTATTTATGTACAAATAAATTAAAAGGAGTAATAATGGGATTGTCATGTTAAGTCAGTGGCTGTAGTTTATGGTCTATAGTACAGGTAACCTTTATGTTCTTTATCATAAAATCTGCTCACGCTGTACTTTTGCTATTTAGGCAATTGTGGTTTTAAGAATTTCATCGAGAGATACAAGAACATTTATTTTTCTTCTTAAACATAAAAGTCTACACACACACTGTATTGTTATAAAATTCAAAATTTCTCTTTTTTTTATTCATCTGGGAACCAAAAGCCAAGCTTATAAGGATTCCATATGATGGGAAAACGAAGATAAAACATACCCGGTACTAAGTTATTGTTTGTGTTCAACAGTGTGTGAGATGTCATTTTCCTGTCACCACACAGTAACCAGTAACCTAGTCAGATCCGAATGTGATTTGTTTCTCTTCAATCATTACACTTTGCATGGTCTCACAGTCACTGCCATATAATAATAGTCATGCTGTAGTAGAACTTCTCATGTTTCCACACCCTCAGGACTGATTGTGTGGCAAACTTAACGATTTTGTGAACTAATAATTGCCTTCTGACATGAACCTAAAAGAGTAGGTATGTACAGTGGGGTATGCTGTAACGAATCTAATTGGTTCTAGAACCTCGTTCGTTATAGGATTAATCCGTTCCAGGGCCCCAAATACAACCACTTAACACTGAAAAATTTCTGTGGAAATTGTAAAAAATACAGTACTTTATCTTACCTTAGTGTTGTTAGCATGCAGGACAGGAGGCAGAGGAGGAGGGGGGAGGAGAGAATTATGGAGAAGAGGTGGAAGGAGAGGAGTCATCCTTCCTAGCCCTCTTTGGTGACTGTCTCACAGGCACTTTGTCTGTTTATTTATAATTTCTTTCTTAGTTTCAAGGGTTATTAGCTTTCTCACTCGCTTTTGACGATTCATTGTTACAATTGTACACTTGTATAACAAAATAGTTATAAAAATAACACAAATTCCCACATCAAAAGACGAAATTTCAACAAGTTCAGTGGTGCACTGACTACACAATGAACCAATATGGCGCCTGACGCTCTTTATTTGAGCCGCGGTACAACAATATTCATGCGCCAGACGAAATAGTCCTGTATTCATCCGCTTTCGTTGTAGGAGTTGCGTTCGTTATAGCATTCTCAATTTTATAGGTAAAACCGTTCGTTATAGGAATATTCGTAGTAGAATCCGTTCGTTATAGCATACCCCACTGTATACAGGAACAGTACTACAGAATACTCATACAGTATACAGTACATGAACCCAAAGACTGTAAACACAAATTATCACTTAAATAGAATAACTTTATGATATGAACCACTAACACAAAGAGCCCAAAATTTAAACACGAGCAAAAGGTTAGAAATATTTATCGATATACAAAGTAATACAGTACATGCATTTAAATTCATACTCCACATTGAAGGAAATGAAGCACATACACAAAGGTGTCCTGAAAGACTTGTGTGGTGGGGAAGGAGAGGGAGGAACATGACTATGAGAGGTATTTAGGAATAGAATCAGTGGTTTTAGAGGACTCACACTCACCATAATGCTTTAATGTAACCTTAAATGAGTTAAACTAATGCCAGAACAGAGCAGCTCAGCACTCATAGTTGCAACGTTGTTCTTAGAATGCCATAACAGCTTAACAAATGGTTCTCATCCATTATTTTTTTTAAATATATTTTTGACACTTTTGTCAAGTAACATTACCAATGTTTTGAGTTTTTATGGTTACTTATTTAGTTTTGTTGGAAAAAGCAATGTACAGTTGCCTCCACATGAGTGTACCACAGCCTGGGAGTGTGTCAGAGCTCGGGTTTGAGATGTGGCAATGCATCGCCATTGTCAGGGCTGAATGAATTGACATGAAACAGTGAAGATACCCTGTTTGCATGGCCACACATCAATGTTGAAAAACACTTTTTGCATAGATGCTTTATTTGTTTATGTTATATACAGTAGCATTGTTGCGTAGCCATGGCAGAGTGACTTAAGACTGAACTACTGGGAACCGTCAAACAGGGTAATCCACAGTTTCAAGATCATGACTATGGTGCCGTGTTACCTCATCTTGTACCTGTGCCCTCACACACACACACACACACACACACACACACACACACACACACACACACACACACACACACACACACACACACACTGCCAGGCTGTGGTATGTTCAAGTGAAGGCAACTGTACTTGTACCACATTTCTTAGTAAAGATAACAGTTTGGTGATGTTGTGGTGGAGCGTGGTGATGAGTGAGCCTGAGAGGTTGTACTTTAAGTTGACACTGTACAGGTCAGCCTCTCTAACCCATCAACCTCAGGACCATAGACTTTTTTTAAACCACAGAAGGTCAAGTAAAGTCAGATGAAAAAATTGTTTTACTCTACTGATACATGAATTATAGTTACAGTACACATTAATAAAAAGTAGAACAGGTACAGTAATGCCCCAAATTACAATGGCGATGTTTCCACCAATTTACCATATAAGTTGAATTGACTTGCCTTAGGTTTTTAATGCCCATTCACTTAACCCCCTGGCGGACATATCCCATGATAGTTGCTGGACGGAGGGTCACGTCTTTCTGGATACACCCCCACAACCATTGCAATACCTGGTATATTTCTTGCAGGACAAATTTATATTTCCTTTGCTTTGTTTCACTAAACATCTTTGTGGAGGTTTTTGGCAACTGCTCTGAGGCAGTGTAGGCATCTCAGAAACATGTTTCTCAGTACTGGAAGGACAATGGCTGAGTCAAGAGTTATATCTTTTACTCATGTGAGTTCCCCACAGAGACAGAAATTGACTCCATTATTTTTGACACGGGAGACAAGGATGACCCTCCCAAGTACAGTACAGGTATAGTGACATTGGAGACATTCCTCAAGATTTTACTTGTGAATCTGTACATAGAGGTAATTGAAATAAATTATTTTTAATATTATTTTTGAAACACATCTTCAGTGCTTCATATTATCACCCATAATGTAAGTTATATAATATTTATCCCTGTTTGGAATCAAGAGTTTACGTTCTATAAGACGATGAGACTCAAATGGTTTTACAATTATATTTACCTGGCCAGTGGTCATGACTGCAATCACCATCCACAAAGGGTTGATGCTGTAAATTGAAGATACATTTTTGGCCCCAAAATTATATTACTATTTTCCTAAAAAATGTAACTTTAATGTACAAAATAGAGCAAATAATGCAATGATAACCACCATCATGAACAAACATCTTTTCAATACAGAGGATTAGTGTCGAACTGTACAAGTTAATTACATTGAGAACAGGAGCCAGTGCCAGCTAATGGCCACTGTCGGCAGCGGTGAAAACCATTACTGACCCTCCCCTTCCTGTGTTAGTCTTCAAAACATAGTTGAAGGAGGGTGAGTCCTGCATCCCACTTTATTCCTAATGTATCCCAATAAAAGTGACTAAACTTGACTTAATGAGTTTATTTTCTTACTAACTAAAACACCAATGAACACTAGACTCAGGAACACCAGAAGCTGACGCACCATTCTGGGAACACCAGACACGGCAGCAGATGCCACACTGCCACCCTCACTTGACAATCCCACACGGACATAAACGAATACAGTGACCCCTCGTTTAACGAACACCTCGGTTAACGTAATTTCGATTAACGAACTGCCTTCCATAAGGATCTTCAATTCGGTTAACGAAAAAAAATTCGGTTAACGAAGTTCTTACGAACCGACCTCAACATGTTTTCGCTTGCACTGACCGGGCAACCAGCTTTAGTATCAGTCCGCCAATACATTAATCGGTTCTAGGGTTTAAATTCCTTACTATTTTAGTAAATATCAAGAAGTTTATACTATTCAATAATTTTAAAAGTTTAATATTCAATTTTTTAGTCATTTTAACAATTATTGAACATAATTGAAGGTAAAGTGACTAGTTTAATGCACGGCATCCAGCCTCTTAACACAGCAAACAGGAGTTAGTCTCTCTCTGTTTTCACTGGAGGTAACATCTTGCTTGAGACTCTCTTCAACTAAACGCTTTTTTTCTGTGTTTCCAAGCAAATTATTGGTCATTTTGAAATATATTTTACATATTGACAATATAAAATGCAGTGCAGTGTTGATTTAAAGAAAATAATCCTGAATTACACCAAGAGAGCTAAAATTTTATGGGTGAAATGGCGCCATGGGGTGACTTCTCTTCCACCCCAATGCCTTATCTTCTTCCTTCTCCTCCACCCCCATTCTAAATCCCATCATCATCATCATCCAGGAGCCTTCTACATACACACCTCAAAGTAAGTGAACTTTTCTACCATTTTTGTTGAATTTAGGAAATTTTCGGTGAGCTGGAACCAACTACCCAAAAACCCATTGAAACAATGGTTTCGGTTAACGAACTTTTCGGTTAACGAACGACCTTCTGGAACGGATTGAGTTCCTTAACGGAGGGGTCACTGTCTACCAAAAAATATTAGTTACAGTATTTAATCTTTTCCGTTAAGCTTTCTATTCTCTTCACTTCACTTTTCACATCACTAGTAACCCATTTACACTCGCCTTAGAAATCAAAATCTGCAGGAGAGTCGGCTACAGCCACGGTGGCACCTCTGGTGAGCAAATAACGCATTTGTTTGACATGGCCGGTAAATTTGAATTATTTCCTGCCCAATTTCCCTCGCGAAATTTATTGCTATATAGGTATACTTATTCGAAAATGTCGATAATTTTGGTAGTCGCGATATAAAAAAGTCATTATAAAAAAATCGCTATATATATTCCGACCCTACTGTCCTATTGTTCATCAAGTATCCTCCTGTATATTTGTTTAACAAGAGATTCATAGACGATACTGTACTGTGGTCCCTCGGTTAATGAGCACAATCCGTTCTAGAAGATTGCTCGTTAACCGAAAAACTCGTTAACCGAAACCATTGTTTCAATGGGTTTTTGGGTAATTGGTTCCAGCTCACCGAAAATTGCCCAAATTCAACAAAAAAGGTAGAAAAGTACACTTACTTTGAGGTGTGTATGTAGAAGGCTCCTGGATGATGATGATGGGAATTAGAATGAGGGTGGAGGAGAAGGGAGAAGAGAAGGCATTGGGGTGGAAGAGAAGTCACCCCATGGTGCCATTTCACCCATAAAATTTTAGTTCTCTTGGTGTAATTCAAGATTATTTTATTTAAATCAACACTGCACTGCATTATATATTGTTAATATGTAAAATAAATTTCAAAATGACCAATAATTTGCTTGGAAACACAGAAAAAAGCATTTAGTTGAAGAGAGTCTCAAGCAAGATGTTACCTCCACTGAAAAGACACAAAGACTGACGCCTGTATACTGTGTTGGCAGGCTGGATGGCGTGCCACAAACTAGTGACCCCACCTTCAATTTGTTCAATAATTGTTAAAATGACTAAAAAATTTAATATTAAACTTTTAAAATTATTGAATAGTATAAACTTCTTGATATTTACTAAAAGGGGTAAGGAATTTAAGCCCTAGAACCGATTACTGTATTGGCGGACTAATACTACAGCTGGTGGACCGCCAAATGCATGTGGAGGTCGGCTCGTAAGAAACTCGTTAATCGAGGGATTGCTCGTTAACCGAAGTTAAGAAGCTTATGGAAGGTAACTCGTTAACCGAAATCTCGTTAAACGAGGGACCACTGTACTGTATTTAGAATATTAACACTTTCAGGGCCACACGGGGTGCATGCCTCCACCACCCAAGGTGGGCAGCACGTGCTCAGCTGAGGGTAGTGAAGAATTAAGCGCATACACACGACAATCACGTCACGTCGACACTCACGCTGATTGGCTGAGTAAATATAAAAATGAAAATAACTAAAAAACTGTAGATGTGCGATGGAAATGCACAATATAAGACTCAATATACAATATAAGTACCCTGCACTCTAATGACCACAACTTATTTACCTAATGGTTACTTACTAGAGGTGGCCATGGCCAAGGAAAAAAGGCCAGTGGCCTGTGTAGGATGCCTCCATTGTTCTGATAATTTTCTCAAGGGCTATTTTGAAGCCCAGTACTTTTCTCGATACCACAGCTTGGGCTGGTAGACCATTCCATAGGTCTCCCAGCCTCTTGTGTAAAGAAGTATTTTGTTGTGTTTGTTCTGCATGATAACTTAGCGAGCTTGTAATTATATCCTCTTGTGTTGGCGATGCTTGACATCGCAAACAAATGGCCCGGGTTCATGTTTTCCATCACTTAAAGGATTTTCAGTGTTTTGACGAGATCTGCCCTATTTTGCCTTGTCTAAAGGGTTCATAGTCCTTAGGCCCTCAGTCTACTTGCATAATCTATATGACATAGATCCGGAATTATCTTAGTCATTGCGTTGCGCCTGAGCACACCTACACTGAAGACCACACCTGCACTCGGAGGACCACACTTGATCACACCTGCACTTTGACTGCCAACTTTGGGTGTTTCAGGCACCTAAGACTATTTACAGTATTATCCCGCTTTACACGTTTTTTTTTTTACGCGTTTCCACGTTTACGCGGTACCCTGCCAGACCCGGAATGTTCACTTTATGCAGTGCATGTACTCTTTTACGCGGAGAGCGGCTGGTGGTCATCTCACGCAGCGCCATTTTTGGATTCAAGCCTCCCGCTATCTCTCCCGCCATCCCGCCATGTTGGGTAAGCGGCGCGAGTAGGTTGAGCAGTGTATGTCTTAGTTGCGTTATCTGTGATGTCATATGACATATCGGACTGTGATTGGGCCAAGCATCCTGACCTCCCGACCCCCACTAGCTGTGATTGATTTAATGTAATATGACGTGCCCCGCCGCGGGAGTGATGAAGCCCGTTGACCTACCCGCGTCAGTTATACCCCTCCCGGCTACACGTGTATATCGGTATCTATTGTTCCATAAGAATGGCTGCCACCAGATCACCACCACCACCACCACAAAGTAACCTTGCATTACCTGGACCCAGCCGCCCTAAACCAAAGAAGATACGACGTGCCCTAAGCTACGAAATTAAATACAAGATCATCCAAGGGTTGGAGAAAGGAACAAGACAGGTTGATTTGGCGCGCCAGCATGGTGTGAACGAATCTACGATCCGGACAATCAAGGAGGATGCAGCCAAGATAAAAGAACACATGAACATCACAAAGTCTACAGATGCTTCTATGATCAAGTATTGCCACAACAAGGTGCTTCTCAAGACGGAGAAATTACTTGTGAGCTACTTGATTCGTCAGGCAAGACGAAACATGGCGGTGGACACTCGCTCAGTTCAGGAGTACGCACGTGAACTGTACGCAGCAGTGTCACGTAAGATGGGAATTGCAGAGCCCAAACCCTTCAATGCTTCCTCTGGGTGGTTGCAGAGGTTTAAGAAGAGGAACAAGATCATCAACATTAACATTGGTGGTGAAGAAGCTAGTGCTGACCGTGTTGCGGCTAGGGATTTTCCTCCGTTTTTACGTGAGATTATGGAGGAAGGACAGTACACCGACGACCAGGTGTTCAACATGGACGAATCTGGTCTCTTTTGGAAAAAGCTACCTTCCAAGACCTTCGTTGTCAAGACTGCCAGCAAGTGTCGGGGCCGGAAGTTGCAGAAGGAGCGCATCACCGTCCTGTTTACCACCAATGCCTCCGGTACCTCTAAGCTCAAGTTATCGGTGATCCACACAGCACGCAAGCCGCACGCCTACAAGAACATGGACATGACCAAGCTAAATGTCCACTGGCTGACCGCACGTAAGGCGTGGATGTTCTCTACTCTGTCCCTCTCCTGGTTTGATAACTGTTTCTTTCCCGACGTGAAGAAATTCTGTGAGCAACAGAATGTTCCATTCAAGATTTTGTTGCTGCTTGACAACGCACCAGGACACTCGCCCCTACTGTTGGATCATCACCCCAACATAAAAGTGGTCTTCCTTCCTCCCAACACTATGTCATTAATCCAGCCCATGGACCAAGAATTAATCTGCAACGTTAAGGCTGCATTCTCTGCAAAGAAGTTTAAGCTCCTGAACGACTATACCAACACCAAGGATGAGTTGCGTAACCTGGGTGACACCAATAGCAAGAGCGAAGAGGACGAGGAACAACAGTTGGCAGAGCAAGAAGTACTTGTGAAACACTTTTGGAGGAAATTCAACTTCAAGAAAGCTGTGGACTTCTTGGTGGAGGCATTGGATCAGCTGTCTGCAGCAACGTTCGTCACACATGGAGACATGTGTTGCAAGGTATCCCAGGCAGAGTCAATCTGTGACTGGTGAGGTTCAGACTGTTGCAGTAGCAGTGGACCTTGCCAGAGAAGCTGTGCAGAGTGTTACAGCTAAAGGCTTCTCTGAGACCACCAACGACGACATTATGGAGGTGATAAGGGATTCTGATGTGACTGCCGACGAGATATTAGAAGATGATGACGTAAGTGAAGAGGCAGGTTGTGCGTCATCCCAAGAAAAACTCAAGTTATTGCATGGTAATGTAAGGGGTGCCATCGAGTGTGTAGAGAAACTGAAGCTCCTCCTTTCCGACGACCCTGACGATAACCGGTATGAAGTCTTCACTACCCAGCTGATGCAGATTATGGAGCCCTACATCAAGGTGTATCAAGACAACATCAACACTAGCCGTCAACAAAGCATTACCGAGTTCTTCGCCCACAACCCACCACAGCCAGCCCTAGCCAGTGATAGTGACAGAGACAGTGATGGTGACTTTGAGGATTTGTCAGGGAGACCCTGATAAGTGTGGATGACAGTGATGATGACTCACCTGAGGGCCAGTAGCCTGCCCTCTGCCTCGGAACCAACCTCCATTCCCGTACGCCGACCCATCTCTTCTACTAACGTAAGTGTTAAACCTAACCTTGATTTTTTCTAACCTAACCTACTGTATATTTTTCTCTTACAGTATTGATATTTCTCTTCTATATTATGTGTGTGTGCATACCATCATAAAGTTAAGATGTTATTTTTACTAAAACGTACGTATTGTGTCGGGAAAAAGTGGAGTTTGGGGGTCGGCCCAGTCTCTATTTCAATTAATCCCATATGTTCTGTTGTTCACTTTACGCGTCTTTACGCGGGCCTCTGTGGGTTCAATTGACCACGTAAAGCGAGGTATCACTGTATAGCCTTGGTGTTATTTTACAGGTAAATTTGAGTGTTTCAGGTACCTAAGATTATATAATTATAGGCTTGGTGTCATTTTACAGACAAATTTGGGTGTTTCATGGGACTACCTGAGGGCCCCCAGAAGCTCTCCCAAGGCCAGGGGTTCCCCAGAAGCTCTTCCAAGGCCAGGGGTCCCCCAAGGGCTCTCCCAAAACCAAAGACACCAGGAGACTACCTGGGAGTTCCCAGGGGCAGGGGCCCAAATGGCCCATCCAGGGACAGGGCCCCCACGGGACTACCAGGGTGCCCCCAGGGGCCCTCCCAGGGTCATGAGTCCCATGGAACTACCAGGGTGTTCCCAGGGCCAGGGGTCCCATGGGACTACCAGGGCCAGGGACCCTATGGGCCCTTCCAGGGTCAGCAGGTCGATGTGGCTACAAGGGGGGCCCCAAGGGGCTCTCTTAAAGCCAAGGGGCCCATGGGACTACGAGAGGGCCCCAAGGTGCTTTCCCAAGGCCAGGGGGCCCATGGAACTACCAAGGGACCCCAGGACCTCCCAGAGTCAGGGGACCCATGAAATAAATAACCAGGGAACCCCATGGGCTCTCTCGGGTCCAGGTGCCTTATGGAACTACCAATGGACTACCTGGGGCTCTACCATGGCCAAGACTCCCATGGGGCTACCAGGGGGACCCCAGGGCCCAGTGGAACCTCCCAGGGCCTAAGGGCCCCATGAGACTACCAGGTGGTCCACAGGAATTCTCCCTCAGGGCCAGGGGCCCCAAAAGTCTACCAAGTGTGCCTTACCGGGACCAGGGGCCCCATGGGTCATCCAGAGAGACCTAACAGAGCCAGGGGCACCATGAGACTAGCAGGAGACCGCAGGGGCCCCGTGGTACTACCAGGGTGCCCCCAGGGGCCCTCCCAGGCCCAGGAACCGCATGAGTGTACCGATAACCCCAGGGGCCCTCCCATTACCAGGGTCCCATGGGACTACCAGAGGGCTACCAATGGCGCTGCTTTCCTGTTGGATATTTATTCTCCTTTAAATTGTTCATGAGGTGATGATACTGGAAATGCGATGGGCGGTGTATCAGTGTATCTCCCATTATTCTAAATAGTGAAAAAGCAATTGCCACCACGGGCCCTGAAGGGACAGTGCCCCCTGGGACCATCCCATTTGCCATACCAGGTGCGGGGCACCCAGGGACCCTCCCAGGGGTGTCGGTGTCTCCAGGAGCCATCCCAAGGGCAGCGGCACCCCCAGGGGCCCGCCTAGGGGCAGAGGAGCCCCAGGGGCCTTCCAAAGGGTAGCGGCAAACCCAAGGTCCTTCTCAAGGGCCCTCACAAGGGCTACGACGTCCACAGGAGCCCTCCCAGGGGCGGCGACGCCCACAAGGGCCCTACCGCGGGCGGCGGCCCCCTCAGGGGCCCCTCCCTGGATCGGTGGTGATCCGAGGTGCCCTCCCTGGGGCGGCGGCAACCCCAGGGACCCTCCCTGGGTCGGCGCGGACCGACCCCAGGGGCGGCGACGTTCCTAGGGGCCCTCCCAGGGGAGGCAGCGCCCCCAGGGACCCTTACAGGGCCGGCGGTACCCACAGGGGCCCTTTCAGAGGCTGCAGTGCACCCAGGAACGCTCCCAGAGGCAGAGGCGACCCCAGGGGCCCTACCAGGGGTGCCCCCTCCCTTAAGCCCTATATATTGCTTGGTCGTGGTGTTGTACGTACTGTATTGCATACGTCCAATAATCACTTACTTAACCTTGATTGGTGGACTAAAATGTAAAACCACCAAATTACAACCAATAAGAGAACAGAGCTGTCAGTCAGCACAACACCCCAACTTATGTTTTCCTGTTGGATATTTATTCTCCTTTAAATTGTTCATGAGGTGATGATACTGGAAATGCGATGGGCGGTGTATCAGTGTATCTCCCATTATTCTAAATAGTGAAAAAAAACAATTGCCCACAGGGACCCTACAGGAAAGGTGCCCTCTGCGGCCCTCTTAGAGGTGGTGGCGACTCCAGGGGCAGCGGCGACCCCAGGGGTCCTCTCAGGGGCAGCGGTGACCACAAGGGGCCCTACCAGTGGCGGCAGCAACCACAGGGGCCCTCCCTGGTGCAGCGATGACTCCAGGGGCCCTCGCAGAGGATGTGATGCACCCAGGGGCTCTCTAAGCGATTGTGGATACCGTAGGGGTCCTACCAGGGGAGGCGGCGAAATAAGGGGCCCCTCCCGGGTTTGTGGGAACCCCAGGGTCCTCCCAGGAGGAGCGGCGCCCCCAAAGGCCCTTGCAAGGGCGGCGGCACCCCCAGGAGCCCTCCCAAGAGCGGCGGTGGCCCCTTGGGCCATCCCAGGGACAGCCACGCTCCCAGGGACCTTCCCAGGGGCAGCGTCGACCTCAGAGGCCCTTCCAGTGGCAACGGCGCCACCAGGGGCCCTTGCAAGGGCGGCGGCGGCCCCATGGGCCATCCTAGGGGCCCCGATGACCCCAGGAGTCCTAGCAGGGGAGCAGGGGACCCCGAGGGCCCTCCTAGGGGCCTCGGCGCCCACAGGAGCCCTCCCAGTGGCGGGGGTGGCCACAGGGGCCCTCCCACGCGCGGCGATGACACCAGAGGCTCTCCCAGGGGCGGTGGCGCTCCCACAGGGCCTACCAAGGGCGAGAGAACCCCAAGGGTATCCTCCCAGGGGCGGCAGCACCCCCAGGTACCCTACCACGGGCAGCAGTGACCTCAGGGGCCCTCCCTTGGGTGGTGGTGACCTCAGAGACCCTCCCAGGGGCCCTCCCAGGAAAAGTGGCGCACCGAGGGACCTTTGTAGGGGCGGCGACGCCCACTAGGGCAATCCCATGGGCTGCTGTGCCCCCAGGAGCCCTCCCAGAGGCGGAGGCGACCCCAGGGGCAGCGGTGACCCCAGCGACCCTACAACGAGAACCCCCCGGGGCCCTATATATTGCTTATTGCTTGGTCGTGGTGTTGTGTATACTGTATTGCATACGTCCAGTAATCCCTTACTTATCTGTGATTGGTGGACTAAAATGTAAATCCACCAAATTACAGCCAATAGGAGAACAGAGCTGTCAGTCAGCACAACACCCCAACTTATGTTTTCCTGTTGGATATTTATTCTCCTTTACATTGTTCATGAGGTGATGATACTGGAAATGCGATGGGCGGGGGGGGGTATTTATTTAACGTCAGATCTCCCATTGTTCTAAATAGTGAAAAAACAACTGCCCCCAAAGGCCCTACAGGGACAATGGCCCTTGGGGCCCTGTCAGGGGCGTTGGCGATTTCATAGGTCCCTCCAGGGGAGTCGGCGCTCCCAAATGCCCTCCCAGGGGTGACAGTGCCACCAGGGACCCTCCAAGGGGCGGCGGAACGCCCAGGTGTCCTCCTAATGGCGGCGGTGCCCTCAGGGGCTCTCCCAGGGGCGAAGGAACTCCCAGGGATCCTCCCAAAGGCGGTGGCGCCCTCAGGGGCTATCCCAGGGGTGGCGGAACTCCAGGACCCTCCCGGGGGCGGCGGTGATCCCAGGGGCCCTGTCAGCGTCTGTGGGGCCCCCAGGGTCCCCTTCCAGGGGCTCTGGCGAACCCAGGGGCCTCGAAGATGCAATGTATTCTCCCGGAGCCCTCCCAAGGGCGACGGTGTTCCCAGAAGCGAGGGCACCTTCAGGGGCCTTATCATGGGCAGTGGCGACAGCAGGAGTCCTCTCAGTGGCGATAGCAATCCCAGGGGCACTCCCAGGAGCGTCGGCGACCCCAGGGTACTCCAGGAGTGTTGGCAACCCCAGGGACGGCGGCCACCCAGGGGCCCTCCCAAGGGCAGCGGATCCCAGAGGCCCTCCCAGTTTTGTCGGCGACCCCAGGGGCCCTCTCAGGGGTGATGGTGACCCAAGGAGCCCAGCAGGGGAATCGGCGACCCCAGGGACCCTCCTTGAGTGGCGCCGACTATAATGGCCCTCTCAGGTTTCCTTTTTAGGGGCGGTGGCGACACCAAGGGCCCTTTCAGGGAAGGCAGAGACCCCTGGGATCTTCTCAGGGGCATTGGCGACCCATTGGGTCCTCCCATGTGCGGTGGGGCCCCAAGTAATCCTTACAGGGGCGGCGGCTACCCAAGGAGCCCTCCCAGGGTCGGCTTGGACCCCATGGGCCGTCCACGGGTCGGCAGCGACTCCCGGGGCCCTCACAAGGACGTTAGGGCAACCCCAGGAGTCCTCACAGGGGCGGCGGTGTCAACGGAGTCCTGACGGCGGCGGTGGCTCCCTCAGAAGCCCACAAGGGGGGTGGCGACCCCAGGGGCCCTCCTATAAGCGGTGGCGCCCCCTCCCAGAAGCCCTTTAGCTTGCTTGGTCTTGGATTTTTACATATTGCATACGTCCAGCAGTCCCTTACTTTACTGTGATTGGTGGACTAAAATGTAAATCCACTAAATTACAGCCAATAGGAGAACAGAGCTGTCAATCAGCACAACACCCCAACTTATGTTTTCCTGTTGGATCTTTATTCTCCTTTACATTGTTCATGAGGTGATGATACTAGAAATGCGATGGGCGGTGTATTTATTTAACGTCATATCTCCCATTGTTCTAAATAGTGAAAAAACAATTGTCCCCAGTGGCCCTACAGGGACAGTGCCCTTGGTGCCTTCTTAGTGGCAGCAGCAATTCCTGGGCCCTCTGAGGGCCGCCGGCTACCTTTTGGGGCCTTACCAGCGGAGGCGGCGACCCCAGGAGCTCTCCCAAGGGCATCGGCGGTCCCAGGGGTGGAGGAGCCCCTAAGGGTCCTCCTAGAGGCGGCGATGCCCTCATAGGCCATGCCAGGGGTTGCATGCGACCCTGGAGAACTCCCAGGAGCTGCGGCGCCTCTAGGGGCCCTCCCAGAGGCAGCTGCAACCACTGCAGCCTATTACCATTTTATATTTAGCCTTTCATCCAGAGGTTTGCCACTGAGGGAATTAGTATGACTGTACATTCATATATAGTAAATGAGGAACTCTGAGGTAGGTTATTATGGCACGGGGACGAAGCCATAATGAGGGGTGAAATGAAACCTAACCTAACCTCACCCCTGTAAATCAAACCAAGTGTGTGTGTAGTGATGATGAATGGTCTTATAATAACTGGAGAGCATTCAGCAGCATCAATCATCATCATTATTCATCATCGCCATCATTATCGTCAACATTCATTATTTATCATCAATCATCATCATCGTCGTCATCACATATACGCCATCATTATCGTCATCATTCATCATCTTCATCATCATCATCATCATCATCATCATCATCATCATCTTCTATCATCACACACACCACATTACCACCCCTGAGCCCTCTCCCCCGCCCGCCTTGACTACCAGCAGTGTCAGTTGGTGCAAATTAGTGGCTATTTCGGTTCGTTTACGCCATTTTGTAGATTTTCTCATAAAAATAAATATATCGTAATATACCAAATAAAAATCTTTGTTTGGCATATGCAATAAATTCTGATTATCTACATGACATAACGTGTAATTTATTCAGAATGTATTCATCATGCAGAACCTCTACCTATGGGAATATGTCAACCTGTCGTTTGTATCATGAGTTCTGAGTGGCTGGTCACCACAAAGGAGCGCTGAATCTGTATCGAGAGTTCTGAGTGGTTGGGCACCACAAAGGAAGCGCTGAATCAGGAGTCGAGCTTGGAGCCACATTTGTCTGAACCATCTGTGATTTTTGTTGATTAGCTGAATAAAAAACGTTTCCCATTATTTCCTGCAGAAGCAATTCAGTTTTTCTGTTAGTGAGCATTTACATGTAATATCCGGTCCTTATCATTACAAGAGCGTCGGGTGGACAGAAGTTTCGATCGGGTGGTTCAGTGTCTGGGAGTCGAGCTCTCAGTTGTCACTTTGGAAGGTATCAGTACTTTCTTATGGTGTCAAATTAAGCAACACAAATATGGCCACGCCAGCCATCCGATTAAGTGTTATTACTAAGGTTTGCAAGTGACGCTTTATATCATGTGCTTCAAGACCACAAGAGCGTATGTTCGTACTGGAGATGGTTAAGTGTGTGGTGGAGATGTGGATGAACTTTAGACCAGGGACAGCCAGACATGGAGGGAGGGAGCCGGCCAATAGTGAGACGGTCGAGGCGCTTAGTGGATGTGTGACGGAAGTTAACGTTTACAAAATGCTCCTAAATTAATACATCCAGTTGTCAAGGATTATAAAATACAGACGCCATCATGTGTGTGTTGGTGTTGAAAAATATAAGGTATGTCACTGTGTATATTTCCCTTACAACTTATTTCTCTCTCCAATCTCCGTCAATTCGATAGCCCATTAATTGTATAGAAATGTTGATGACTGAGACTTCATTATACTGAATGATCTTGACAGCTTAACTAGGGTAGAAATCCATTTCAACGTGATTTGGTTGTAGGAGTTTAAGGTTAGGTACCAGAACAAGGCGACCAGCCACGCTGATTAACCCGACCTTCTCCCCTAGACCATTACCCGGTTTAGCAATTTATACGGAGTCCTTTAACACGGCTTTAGAAGATTATGAACATTAGATTAACACCTAATCGTGTCCATGATCAAACCTTATAAGTGGTTGTTCCCAGTCGGCGTAATAGAGATGTCTCAACTGTGTACATTATGCCTTCAGTCTTCATTGGTGTATTCATAAGTGTTCTAAGCGGTCTATGATTATCGGGAACAAAATGTAAACAGCACTTTTAAGCTAAAACGTATGTAACAATATAAGCAACTAACCACTCAGCGCAGCCAATCAGATTTTACTTGTTATACACATAAGTGCCACTTGTTGTGGTGGTGGGGGGTGTGCTAGGGTAGTTAATCTTCAGGTGATATAAGATGGGCTTCTGCCATATCTTCGTGATTTCATAATTTTATCTTGTTTAAACCAAACATGATTTCTATGAGCGTTTTAAATCCCAGTGTAAGAGGCGGTGTTACCTTGTTCACCTGACAGTCAAATATTGTAGCCAGGTACAATTAGATCCATCTTGAGTACATCAGTTGGTCACTGTGGAGGAATGGTGGTGGTGGGGAAGTGTTTATTGTAGTGATGGCGGTGGGGAAGTGTTTATAGTGGTGGTGGCGGGGAAGTGTCTGTGTTGGTTGCGGTGGGAAGTGTCTGTGGTGGTGGTAGGTAACTCATTTGCCAACCTCCAATCACCAGTGTAGAGGTGATATTTTCGACGAGTAGAATAATATACTTTTGTGCTGTAAATTATTAGATAGTCAAGTGAAGTATAATGGTCAAATAAATAGTTTACTTTCCATTATCACCGTATTTACTGTGTTGGGAAAAACATATTTCTGACCTTCGCAAGATATTCACTGATATTTCGGGAAATGAAGAAGAGAAATTAAAGAATATCACTATCAGAAAAGAAGACGAAATCCCCAGGGCCTGATGAAATTTAGGTGGCCAGGAGCCGGCTACTTTATGCCTTTACTCAGCATAGTATGACAGCTTCCCGTGGGCACACCTTAACACGTGCATTGAACATGTCACCTCATAGCCAGTGGAAAGCTACAGGGGATGAATCAGTATATAAATCAAATGTAATTAACCCATTTATATAATTCTGATGTTTATGAAACATGGGCCATTACAAAAAGAGTATTAGGTTTTATACCTAGAAATGTAAGTAATAAGAGTGCAGAGGTCTTATTGCAACTGTATCTTGCGCTAGTCAGGCCGCACCTCCATTATGCTGTTCAGTTTTAGTGCCCTTATTATAGAATGGATATCAATTCACTGAAGTCGGTGCAGCGAAGAATGACGAAAATGATTCCGGGACTTAGAAACCTTCCATATCAAGATAGGTTAAATAAACTAAACTTGCATTCCCTAGAAAGACGAAGAGTGCGGGGAGATAAAATAGAAGTATTTAAGTGGGTGAAAGGAATCAATAAAGGAGATATAGATAAAGTTCTTATAGTAACCGAGCAGGATAGGACTTGTAGCAACGGATTTTAGTTGGATAAGTTTAGGTTTAGGAGGGAGATAGGAAGGAACTGGTTCACAAATAGGGTGGTTGACGAGTGGAACAAGCTTAGCAACGTTGTAGTAAGTGCTGGATTGCTGGAAAGTTTTAAAAGGAGGCGAGATAGATTCATGGATGATAGAGAGTGGTAGTAACTCTCGACTAAGGATATATTTATATGGATATAAGTGGTGTATACTTTTGTACTTTTCTAGTGTATGGTGAGGCTGAGGTTCGGGTTTGGGTTAATTTAGGCTGTGGTCATCTGTACTGTACTTAAATTGTTCCTTTAATTGACCTTTGTTTGTGGTCTCTTAACTTTATAATGCTAAGTTATGCATTTCATGACTCATCTTCAACATGATACCTATATTTTGAGTTAATCTGAGGGTTATTATTGAGAACCTGGTGGACATAATATAAGAGTCATTATAGTGTTTACCCTGCTTGTTGTTGTGACCACTCGTGTGACTTGTGACTTGACTAGTGGTAAATTCTTGATAAAGAGGAGTGCTGGCTTAATAGTATGACGAAAGAGTGATTTTAATTCTTGTCGCCCTGCAATATATACAAAAAAAAACTATTTTTGGTTAATTAAATTATAATTTCACAGGTATTAACAGAAAATACTACTCCCGGGAGGATGAGGACCATAACTTGGTGTACAGATGACGAGGCGACATCAAGATGGACAAGAGAAACGATCAAGAGTACAATAAAGGATGAACATTCTCTAAATAACTCAGTCTACCAAACATGACAGGAAGTTGTATTGTATATATGTAAGTGTTGGTTAAATACGTCCACATAAATACTAAAACAGATTATAACAGTGTGTTGAAATCTTATCTACTGACTACTGTAGAGATACTGTAGCACTGTAGGAGTGAGGAAAGAACAAGCAATATTATGTAAGAGTGAGGGAAGGACATGCGGTGATGTGGAGGAGTGAGGAAAGGTTATGCGGTGTTGTGTAGGAGTGAGGAAAGGACTTGCAGTGTTGTGTATAACTGAGGGAAGGACTTCTATTATTGTGTAGGAGTGAGGGAAGCAGTGTTGTGAAGAAGTGAGGGAAGGACTTGCAGTGTTGTGTAGAAGTGAGGGAAGGACTTGCAGTGTTGTGAAGAAGTGAGGGAAGGACTTGCAGTGTTGTGTAGAAGTGAGGGAACGACTTGCAGTGTTGTGAAGAAGTGAGGGAAGGACTTGCAGTGTTGTGTAGAAGTGAGGGAACGACTTGCAGTGTTGTGTAGAAGTGAGGGAAGGACTTGCAGTGTTGTGTAGAAGTGAGGGAAGGACTTGCAGTGTTGTGTAGAAGTGAGGGAACGACTTGCAGTGTTGTGTAGAAGTGAGGGAAGTGCTTCTAGTATTGTGTAGGAGTGAGGAAAGGACTTGCAATATTGTGTAGGAGTGAGGGAAGGGCTTCTAGTATTGTGTAGGAGTGAGGGAAGGACTTGCAGTATTGTGTTGAAGTGAAGGAAGGACTTCTAGTATTGTGTAGGAGTGAGGGAAGAACTTGCAGTGTTGTGTATAAATGAGGGAAGGACTTCTAGTATTGTGTAGCAGTGAGGGAAGGACTTGCAGTGTTATGTAGGAGTGAGGGAAGGACTTGTAGTATTATGTAGAGTTAAGGATGGACTTGTAGTATTGTAGGTAGGAGTTTGGGATGCACTTGGTATGTTGTGTGGGGAGTGAGGGATGGACTTGCAGTATTATGTAGGAGCAGGGGAAGGACTTGTAGTATTGTGTGGTGGAGTGAGGATGCACTTGGTATATTGTGTAGAAAGAGAGATGGACTGGTATG